GAAACAATTTTAGCATCACACACACACGCACACGCACACACAAGGCCAACAATACTTGTAAAATCTTATGAACTCCACATCAAGTAAAGAATGAAAACAGATGACAGAATTACCAATCTACTTGTAGGCCTCCTGAGAAAATCGGAGCTTCCAAAAATGCAAGAAGAAACAGCAACCTTACAGTTGTACAAATAAGCCTTATCTCTTTCATCTAAATCAAAGCCAGTGCTTGAATATCCTCCTTCCGCCTTGACAAAACCACAATGAAGTGTTTGGTTTACCGCATAAAATGATTTTTCTCTTTCCTCAAGAGTCTGATGTCCTCCAAATCGAGGTTCAAATAAATTATTTTCTGACTTTTGTTCTTCTTTGTTAGTATATTCTAGTGAAAACCGGGTGTAGTTAATGTAGTTCTTTGGCTCAAGAATGCCATCTACCGATTCCAGAAGCCCAACTTCACAAGGAAAATCTGAAAGATTGATGTTAAGGGAAAACATAGGATGAAAATAATCTAGTTAATTATGGAATTGAAATGCATAAATCCAAATAATAGTGCTGATAAATAATTGAAAAGATGGATTAGCATGTTATTTGTTATCATCAAATTAAGAACTTGAAAGGTCCCCTTTCTTTTTAAACATTTAATAAAAAGGCCACTGACTAAATCTGTGCTACGTCATAGATTAAAGCAAAGGAACAGATCCTTGGCAAATCTTAATGATTATATTACAACAGAAGAAAAGAGCACAAGGTTCACCTCAGCAAGATTTTTCTCACCAGCCTTGATGGTTGCTGCTTGATTTTCACATTATATGATTAATTATGCTTGTTAAAAGAAAATTATCCATTCAATATCCAATCCTTCTACACTTTATTGAGGTTGATTCAATGATTTGTGCTCTTTCAAACATGGTTTTCTCAATGAGTCTTTAACTTTCTCTCTCCCTCCCTCCTCCCCCACCCTCTCTCACTCGCACACATAGATTTGATGCAGGTACTACATTTTTTTATTCTTTTATCCAGTTAAATTTTTTGTACAAGAATTATTATTTTGGTTTATTTTGAATTATCAGGCTATGATAATCTATATCCTAGATAACTATCTTTTATTAGGAGTTTTAATTTAAATTTGATTCATATTACAATTGTGAAGTCTGTATGACTAAAGTAGGCGGTTATCTTTTTGTTCACCTTTCCCATCCATTAATAATATGTCTATTGAGATTTGAGTTCAGAAAGTTTTAGGAAGTTTTCCCCATTGGTTTCCCACTAATTTGTTCACCTTTCACATATTAAGGGAATGTAGGGATGCTAGCGCCATGTCATCATCTACAGGCTGCAACAGATACTCAGGAACAGTTGCTAAGGTAAGGGCCTTAATGGGGATGATGGGCAGGCTATGTGACCCTTATCATGACAGTAGCGAGATTCTATGGATGAGGCACTGAAAAGAGAATTTTGACGAGAGGTTCTTTCTCTAAACTGCGCAAGTATGAATCCTATCCTACTTATAGACATATAGACTGCTTATAGTGTGAATAAATTCCATCTAAACCAAAAGTACTAAATCATAGTTATTAAGGACATAGACAACCACTATCCCACTAATTCACAATAAAACTTTAATTCATAAATAGAAAATCTAATTGAAAACAGAACAATTGATTGTACTATCTGTGTCAAAAAGTATTATAGAATAATGGAAGCACAGCACTTAAATATCAGTATAATGATAACATTGACTTATTGATGTGCAAGATATTGACTCTTACGTTGCTTCCGACGCTTGCTTTTAGGTGGCCTTCCATCATCAGATACCAAAATTTCTTCTTTTAAGTTTCCTTCTTCTTTCAGTTTGTGGAAAATTGGGGGCTTAGAGTCCAAAATTGGGGACTGAGAGTCCATTTTAGCTGTAGAGGAACGATTGCAAGAATATAAGAAGCAAAATTCTGACATGACTTACAATTTGATACTACTTCTATAGAACCTTTAAAAATCTCAGTTAAAACAATAATTTTTCCATGAATACAACTTAGTGATCATATAGACACGAGAAATTAAAAAAAAAAAAAAACATTACTGAAGAATAAAACAAGAAGCATGATGGAAAGTGATAGCTTGGTCCGTCTATACTTATGTATGTGCGACAAAAGATAAATACATTACATGTATGTTCCAAATTAAACGATTCAAGTCTCCAGCCTCACCTAAAAAAAACATTCTCAGTCCAAAAGCTGTCAAAGACAATGACAGTAGTGCAATGAGAAGCAACAAAGATTCTGAAAGTCTCTGTTTAGTAAAACGACCAAACCTTCTACCACGACGAAAGACCCGAAAGCCATGATCAGTGAAGAATTCACCATTATTCTTATACTGTGCCATTGCAGAGCAGGTCCCGCAATTCAGATTTAGACCGCGTCATCTGCCAAAAAAAATCCATGTTTTAACTTTCACAAAAAAGGATGACAAGTTACTCAAAAATTACTCATCTCATCAACACATCATCATATCCAAGTTCCAAACTCAAACATGTACAAGTCCCTATAGGCCTCCGTGGTTAATGTTTTTGCATGTATCAAATTTGATAGTCCTCACTACATAGGATCAAACGCTCAAGTTAGAAAAGTCAATAGTTGGCAGAGGTATGTATTCAACATCGCTACTATAACGATATTTTATAATCAACATTACCATATGAAGCTGAGAAAGTGTATGCCACCATTCTACTCTATGACCATGAAAGGCATGGCATTCATTGAAAATGCCATTTCCAAATAGGAAAGACAATGAAGAATGGAAGGGATACAATCCTCAGTTAAAAAAGAAAGAAAGAAGGAAAGGGATACAATCCCTGTTCCGAATCCCATTAAGTTTGAATCCGACAGCTCATGTATTTGTCCGTCCTTATAAATAAAACTCATAAATAGATTACCAATTGAGATACCAAATATGAAGATACATAGACACACGAAAAACCTTCAGAAAGTGAACTGCATCACTCCTGGCCCCAAGAAAGGGGAAGCAAAAGTGAGTTACAAAGTTCAAAAGGGGAAATTAAAAGACAGAAATGCCATAGGAATCATCAAAACGACAATGCTTCGCATAAAATTTTCCAAATTGAGGTGTTTAAACACGTAACCAAAATCAAGTACTAGCAGGACAATGTTAGAAGAAATCTACAAGCAAATGGATTCAGAATTAAAAGAGAATCAACTCAGGGTTCTGTGATACCTCATCGGAGAGCAGACCGGAGGCGGGAAAATGATGGGGTGGGCGTACGATCTATCATGGGTAACATACACAGAACGAAATCTTCGCACAAACTAGATAAATCAAGCAAAAGCGGGTAAATCTTTGGGCGGCCAAACTGGTGTTGTCCGTTATCAAGATCCGCACTTCACTTGTGATTCCCAAGCCTACGCGTTTCGCAGACAGAATCGAGCAAAAGGTTTAACTTTTTCTTTCGTTTTTTCTTTTTTTTTTTAATGACAATTTGGTTCACTTGTTTCAAGATCTTTGCTTTTTTGTACCGACAGATAAAGCGGCCTTGAACAGCGTTTTAGTGGGCAGACGGTGAATGTCGCGATGATGAACGAGAATGATTATGCCCTCTGGTTCCGGCGTCGCGTACTCTTCAGCAATTAGCGTTGTTGTGGCATCAAGCACCTTGCGTGAATCCTCCTATTTTATTTTATTTCATGAACCAAAAAAAAATTATACCCCCCCCCCCTCATCTTATTCATAAATCATTTTCATTAACCTCATTAATATTAATATAATAAAAATATAAAAAATAAAAATAAATAAAATTTTAAATATAATCTTAAAGTAAAGAATGAAAAGTAAGTTAATTATATAATATTATTTTTATCTTTCTTTTTTTACTTTTTAAGAATAATTTAAGAATTTTAATTTAAAACAAAACAATCTTATTAAAGTGAATCAAATTATATTTTTAAAAAATGATTTATATATTAAAACAGAGAAATATTAATTATAACATTTTAAAATTTAGATCTAAATGCTTGTAGATATAGATAAAAAGTTTTTATTAGTCTGATATTTTGTTCAAATAAAATCGGAGTTAAAAGATGAATTAAATATATACTTGAGATAGGTGGGGAAAAAAAAAATTCAATATTATAAAATTTCCTGAAAAAGTATTGTGTCCAATTATTAAATATAATTTATTAGATTATAAATTATAATGAGTGGGGACACAAGATATGCTCCATACAAGTTTGGACTTTAGAGATATCTATAAATATGAAGAAAAATATAATTTTTAATTCCTGCACTTTACTTATATTTTGTTATAGGTTCATTTTTTTTTTGTATTTTGGATATCTATACTTTTATTTTTGATATTTTATGCTCATCCAAGATCCCTACACTTTATTTATTTAAAGATTTAGAATATCAAAAAATAAAAGTGTAAGAACTCATAACATTAAAAAAAAATACAAGGACCTATAACAAAATACAAACAAAATATAAGAACTAAAAATTATATTTTTCTAAATATAAAAAAAAAGAAAGTTAAAGATATAGCAAGGATTAAATTATAAAGATTTTTTATTTTAACTAAGCGACACTCATGGGGATGAGGGAGTGCCATAATCATAAAAAAACAATATGTATTCTTAAGGCATCAAAATAATACTTTAAGAGTGAGAAGCACAAAATTAAAATGAAACAAATGTTATAATAATTTCATTTTAGTAAAATACCTTTACGTGGACTCTATAATCAATATCAATATATAATATATAACAGTTCCAAAACTTAATGCTTATGAACAGTAAAATGGGGGTATTTACGGCATTTCCAAGAGAGCTAAAATATGTCTTCCTTCACAGCTTACAAAAAAGCAAAGGGGCTGATGGGCATTTTTGGTGTTTTACTTGCTATGGGTGAAGTCACCTCAATATGTACGATAAAGTGAGGATGCAAAGTTTTATCCATTGAATTATACCAATATACATTGTGTAAAGAAAATCTCCAATATTTGAGAGTATTTGACACTACCCACTGTTTGAATCGTGCAGCTCACTTTGACGTCTCCATTCACTACCCTTTCTCTCTCTTGGCAAGATTCTCCCTAATTTACTCTGCTTCCACCAACCCTACGGTGCCCTTCTCTTTCAATCGGTCAGAAATGTCACTCTAAAATAGTTTTTGGGAGCCTCCTGCATGATTATCCTAACTCGATGGAAGCCTTGAAGCTGTCTTGAGATTGTTTTTCTATTCGGCCGTCGCCCGTTCCATCTTCTTCTCGAACTCGTCCTAGGGTTGTATCTTGCAGTCTGAAAGCTGGGTGAAGTTAATGTATTTACTGGTATATGATGTATTTTCTCTTGATTTATTTGCATGTTTTTTTTACTTAGTTATTATAACAATTTCTGTCCTTATTTGCTGGTCTTATAGTTCAACACAATCTAACCATACCCCCTGATTAGGATATCTGCTCACTTTTTTTTTTAATACAAAGGCCATATATTTTTTTGTATTTAATCCTTCTCTATTTTCCCTTTGTCTAACCCAGAATGGATGCCTATAACGTTAATGCATTAGACAAAAATCATTTTGTTCTACTCAACAATCTTGATCGAACCAAGATAACCTGGCATATACTCATCAAAGTAGATCAGATGTATGCTTGTGTTGGCCAAGAAGTCTATGAGCTCGATCTTGGTTATCCGAAGTGAGCACGATCTATCAACCTAATGGTATTTGATTTATAGGTGACAATACTTATGATTTTTTTTTGAAACATATATTAACTCATACTCTATTGCAACCTGAACTTTGCCTTACAACACTCTATCTTTCCTTTTTATCACTTAAGGATACTCCAATGGAAATGTTAATAGTTGGCCAGACATAAAGTAAGATATAACTTAATATTTTGGTTCTATACTTCATGTTTTTTTCAAACTTTATTCTTAAACCATGATCAAGTTAATGTTTAATGGTTTCTCCACATACTTGAAATAGTATGCGGAAAGTAAATTACTTATTATAACATTTTGCTATCTTGGATGTTCTTTCCATGCATGAATCTTAATGATGAATCAAACAAAAGTTTGGCCGTCTCTAGGTAGTTCTTAACTTTACACTACCTATCGTGAAATAACTTTTCATCCCTTTTCCTTATCATTTCATTGCCTGTTGTAATAGCTTAATCTGCATTGTTCTTATTGCAGCTTTTAGTGTAGAAAGAGTTTCATTATTTTGGCCTTTCCAATAGCAGGCCACCTTCTATTTTCATATTTCCTTGCTGTATGATGCTTCAATACATGTATTGCCAGTTTCTAAAGTAATCATGTATTGCCACTGATATCTTTGGAATGTGTGAATATTTTATTTTTACACTCCTCAATGTCTTTATTCATATCCTTTACGTGTTTGTACAGAAAAAGGTTAAAACTCACTCTTCTTTACTATATACAACATCCATTGCTCTATCATATCCATTCTAAATATCTATTCAAAATCAATGGTCAACTTCTTTTAAATGTTTCGTCCTATCACTGAAAGATGCCCAAATACTCAAGACACACAATCTTTTTCCATTTCATGATACCCCCGCTGTTTCATGCTTCAATAGATGTATTGTCAGCTACCATATTTGTGCATAAATATGATAACATGATAAATTACTTATTATAACATTTTGCTGTCCTTATTTTTTGGTATATCATGATACAATATCTTTTTAAAAAATTGTTATTAAAAGTTATAAGTCTTTTTCTTTGCTTAACCAAAATACTTGCTTATTTCCTTTAATTTCCAATATTGATTTATATTTCTTTTCATGGCTCACAAAGTCGAGACATGATGAATTGTCTTTTAAAAGGAGATTCTGCTGTGGATGCTTGGACAACATATCAGTCATATAAGTATGCTGTTATTTTTAAACTGCCTGGTAATTTGTACTATCTTTTTAAATATAGAACATCTAATGCTTTATCATATTCGTTCCAAATATCTCTTTTACAATCATGGTCAACTTTTAAATATATGTTGTGCCTTCTTTATGCATCCATTCTAAATTTTAAAGATAATGTCACCTGCTTTTTAAAAAAGAGATTCCACATATGCTTCTTCGTTCCTGCACTTCTTCTATTTGGACATCGTTTGCATGTGTAAATTCCTAAAATGAATTAAAAGAATAAGGACCAGACTGTTTGTGTGTTTTCCCTTCATGGATACATGTACTAATAACAATACACGTATTTTCCTTTAATTATTGATATACCCACATGTGTCTTATACAAATCACCTTAAATATGTTTACTATGAGTATTTAATATTTATCCCAGGCAGAGATTTCCTTCAGGAGTTCAAAAATGTTGCCAAAGTCCGCTGGTACACCAACCCTGGACATGCTGACCTTGCTGGCAGCAGCTTATAAATGTTAACAGATGGCTTTGGGGATCCAAGACCATTGTAGGTTGTTGGTAGAGATGTTTTGTAATCCTATGACATTTTTAACTTTTATATCTTTGTGTATGAAGATCAGAGTACTTATAGTCTTTTCTTAAGATCAATGTATTATGTCTTTTATAAATAATGTACTTTTATTGAGTTCATTGATAAATGAACGAAATTGGTTGACACATGTTATGTTTTAATTTTGTCCTTTAACACTAACATAAACCTCACAAGAACTCTAATTAAACAATCATTATTGTTTTTTTCATAAGGGATTCGTCCTATATTGGTGGACTTAAATTATTATTATTATTATTATATTGATAATTAAATCATACAGTTATTGTATAATAATGGTAGTTTTTGCAAGTTTATAATTCTGTTTGTAGTTGTTTTATATCATTACGTCGATGTTTGCTTATACAAGTTCCAAATACATAGTATTATCTAACACGGATTATATCAGTGTTAGATAACACGTTTTAGTGTAACATTAAGTTTGAAAGTTTAGGTGCCAAAAATCTTTTCATTACTTAGAAAGTAGATGGTGATGAACAGTTTAATGGGGTTATTCCAGGTAATTTTTAGTAGTTATATGTAATGATATGTAATTGTTTACTTTTAACTTGTAGTGTATGAAGAACACAGTAATTATTACACTCCTAAATCTTTCAACTTGAAGTCATTCACCTAATAAAGATTCCAATGGCATTATCTTTCTTATTATAAATTTATAATTTGTATAATTGCATAATAATCACAAATTTTATAAGGTCATATTTTTGCATGTATATCTTCTTATACTAGATTGCTCCTTCTTCCTTATGTGACTGCCAAGTCCAATGTGTTACAGATTCCAAAAAGTTATGTGTGTGTTGTGTTTAGCACGTACAATCTCCAAGATCAATGTATTCTTATACTTCTTCTATATGACAAGGTTTGATCCACATTATAGTTTCTATAAATGCAATGTGGATTTTGTTGACAATTATTTTTTTATTGTATCTTATTATACTATTGCAAATTATTCAGGATGACATATTTGGCAGTCAAAGTCAATAATTCTCTGCTCAGTATGTTTTTTTCATCATGTGGAAAGGGCAATGTTTACCAGGTATGATGCCATATAAATGGCTATTGCAACATGCTTTTGTTAAAAGTATCAACTCATCATAAACTTTTTATTTCCAAACCTATTGTATAATTTAACGCGTGTTTACAAGTTCAGAAGTATCCCCATGTCATATCATTGCTCATTCTTAATGACAATTCATTGACTTCAATCTTCTGTTTAAATTTATATTATGAAATAAATAATGCATTCAAGTTCTCTCAGTTTTTAGTTATACAATGTCTTGTCCTTTATGTGTATCTCGAGTATTTAAATGTTTCACCATGCATGTTAGTCATAATTTCTCTATTGCTTGGTTGTTTTTTATATTTAACTCATGGGCTTTAATGTATTGCACTTATTCATCTCATTTTTTTATATAAAGATGTGATAATTACCTTACATATCCACTAAATGTGCGATATAATCAAGATAACTCCAATTACATGTCATACTCACTATTACCCTAATCATCAAAACTCACACTACATAGTCTGTTTTTCCATTAACCTACTAGGATGATACCCATTACATAAATATAATCTTCAAAGTAGGTAGTTCTTGAGCTCACTTGCACTTCGTCCGTCACTATAATGGGTCCACAGCACACTCGTATACATGTTATCCCGCAATCTCTCCATCCTTGAATGAGTGCATTCAACTCATGCTCTAAGAAACAAACGTAATGGCTCATAATCAGTTGTTTTGATATAGCATGTGTTATGAATCTTCAAATGAGCATGTTGGAGGTTTGGCATATTTATAGTCAAAGATATTAGTTGGGAAAATAATAAAACATCAGCTATTCATTTCGGTTTACCTTTTTAAGGGGGGCAATTCATCTTTTTACCTATTATGTAAAAGTAATATACCGGGTCGAATACCAATGAAGAGATATTTTTAACTTTAAATGAGTGTGCTGGAGGTATCACCTATTTATAATATACCAATGAGTGTGCTGGAGTAATATACCGGGTCGAATACCAATGAAGAGACAATTAAAGAAAAGAAAATTTTTGGAACTATACGTGCAGGTAAAATTCCATGACTATTCAAATGTATATTTTTTCTTATAATTTATTACTTTCATTTTTAAATTATTACCTCCATTTTTTCTAGCTTTTAATCTCTTTATGTTTGGACTTCTTCTTATTATATCTTCTTTATATACAGAGGTATATACTATTGAATTTCAGAAGAGGGGTTTACCTCATGCCCATATACTTTTGTTCCTTGACAAGCATGATAAAATCAATGACTCGGATGGTGTCGACAGGGTAATCTTTGCAGAAATCCCAGATAAGCATACCTCGCCAAAATTGTATGATTTGGTCAAGAGATTTATGATGCATGGTCCATGTGGTACAAGCAATCCCAAGTCACCGTGCATGAAGGATAAGAAATGCAGTAAATATTTCCCTAAAAAATTCAACAACCAAACAGTGATTGATGAAGATGGATACCCTACATATAAAAGAAGAAATGATGGGAGAGATATTGAAGTAAAGGGTATTCATTTAGACAATAGATTTGTTGTCCCATATAACTCTGTCCTTCTTACCATGTTTCAAGCTCATATCAATGTTGAGAAATGCAATCATTCCACTTCTATCAAGTACTTATTTAAGTACATCAGCAAAGGAAATGATAGAGTGGTGGCAACAATATATGACAACAATGACGAGATTCAGCAGTATTATAACTGTAGATATATTTCTGCTTGTGAGGGATCCTGGCGTATATTTGGATTTGACATCCACCACAGACATCCTTCTGTTGAAAGACTAAGTTTTCATTTACCAAATCAGCAACCTATAGTTTACTCAAATACAGACGACGTGGCAGAGTTGTTAGATAAGCCAAGAGTATGTGAATCACAATTTTTAGCTTGGATGGAAATGAATGGTAACCAAGATCTTGCCAAAACTCTTACATATTCTGAATTCCCACATCATTATGTCTATGAAAGGAATAAAAGAGCTTGGAAAGAAAGAAAAAGAGGTTTTGCAGTAGGTAGAATAACTCACGTGTCACCATCATCAGGAGAACTTTACTTCCTTAGAATACTATTGACAAAAGTCAAGGGCCCTACTTCATTTGATGATATTAAGACGGTTAATGGTGTTATATATCCAACCTTCAAAGATGCTTGCTTTGCACTAGGTTTATTGGATGATGATAGGGAGTACATCAATGCAATTAGGGAGGCTTCAGTTTGGGCTTCGGGAGTTCAGTTGAGAAGGATGTTTGTCACTATGCTACTTTGCTCATGCTTGAGTCGGCCGGATTTTGTATGGAGTAATACTTCTGAGATATTGTCTGAAGATTTATTATACATCCCACGAAATGATCCAACCTTGTCAGGTAAATTGCAAATCTAAATAATCTTTTATTATTTGCATTGTCAACATAAGTTAATGCTTATAATTGACCTTATTAATTATTGTAGATATTAATGTGCCACTGGTTGCAAAGGAAGAAGCTGCACTTCGTGAGATTGATTCATTTCTTCATAGTAATGGCAAGTCATTGCAAGATTTTTCGTCACTTCCATTGCCAGTAGCAACATCAAACTTTGATGTCACAAATCATCTAATGCTACAGGAATTAAACTATGATCGTCAAGCCTTGGGTATAGAAGCTACAAAGTTGGTAAAATCTCTTAACTCTGAGCAAAAACATGTCTTTGACAATGTCATGTCATCAGTTTACTCCCCCTATGGTGGTTTTTTCTTTGTCTATGGTTACGGGGGAACTGGAAAGACTTTCTTATGGAATGCTTTGTCTTCATCACTTCGTGCGAAAGGAGAGATTGTCCTAACTGTTGCATCAAGTGGCATTGCTGCTACTTTATTGCCTTCTGGAAGGACAGCGCATTCCAGGTTTGCCATTCCTATCCAAATAACAGAGGATTCTGTTTGTTGTATTAAACAAAACTCTCCCTTGGCACGTTTAATTCAATGCACTAGATTGATTATTTGGGATGAGGCACTAATGGTTCAACGGTATTGCATAGAAGCTTTTGATAGGACATTAAAGGATATTATGCATTCAAATGATACTTTTGGTGGAAAGTGTATTCTTATGGGTGGCGATTTCCGTCAAATACTTCCTGTCATACCTAAAGGAACAAGAGCAACCATTGTTAATGCATGTATTAGTTCTTCACCTTTATGGGATCATTGCAAAATATATAAACTAACAAGGAATATGCGGTTATCATCATCTTCTATGAATACCGATAGCAATGCTTTGGAAAAATTTAGCAAGTGGTTGTTAGACGTAGGTGATGGGAAACTGGGACAACCACATGATGGTACAACAAATATTGATATTCCTCACAATTTGCTTATCTGTAATTCAAAAGATCCTATGAATGCCATCGTGTCTTCCACTTATCCAAATTTACTTATCAATTTTGAAGACATAGCATACTTTAACGATAGAGCAATTTTAGCTCCAACTATTGAAAGTGTGAGTGAAGTTAATAACTATATGTGTTCGTTGCTACCTGGTGAAGCAATGGAATATTTTAGTTCTGACTCTGTATGCAAGTCTACAGAAGACAACGATTCATTTGATGATTTGTATACAACTGAGTTTCTCAACACAATTAATTGCTCTGGATTACCACCACATATTCTTTCTTTGAAGGTTGGAGCACCTATAATGCTATTGAGGAATATTGACCAAGCGTCTAGTCTATGCAATGGTACACGGTTGCGCATTACTCGGCTAGGGAAAAATGTTATTGAGGGCATAACATTGAATGGTTCAAGGCAACATCAAAAAGTTTTAATTTATAGGATGGACATGAATCCATCAGAAAGTAGATAGCCATTTCGCATGCGACGAAGACAATTCCCAGT